CAAAGTAAACACTTTGAACTTTGTGTGTACTGGAGAAAATGTGAAGGGTGTGCGACGCCCCAGGTAAAAGTGCTGTCACAAGGTTCAGCGTCTACACAGCAAAACATTTCCACAGATATTATGTTGCCTGCACTTGTGTATCAAAGTAAAAACCCTTCCACGTTTCTTTGCTCACTGAAGAATGACGAGCCTCGTTGAATCTTGAGAATCTTCGGACGTTTCTCGGTCACATCCTGATCAGAACCTCGAGTAGAAGCCAAAAAACGAGTGTGTATAATATTCAATGCAACTCTGAGCTTGGAGTTCTTGCAATTACTCAAACGAACCAGGCTGCTCTTTTCACCCTGCCATTCACGGCGAGTGGACAGGTTGTCAGGCCTGTGCTCTGCTCCGAAACATTTCAACAACAGATCGATGTGTGACCTTTACTGCAGAAGGTGCTGCGTGCTGTATTTTCAGTCCTCCGCAAATCATTGGAAAATTGATTGTCATAAAGCTGAGGTATCTCTACTGTAAACGTATCAGGCGTGTCTATTGAGCACCAGTGGGACAGAGTCGTGGGGTGGGAGGGGTCATAGATATACGAGCCAGTCAGGGTATTCAGTGGACATGCGAAAAAACCTTGAATATTACAATGACGGTTTCCAATACATCACGCAAAGACGATTAAGACAACTTAACGGGACCACAGGGACACTTGTCTTAGGCCTCAACCCTCTGCATCGTACAACGAACACAACCGTAGAAACTCTGATTTCACTGGTGGTTGTACAGTGATGTTACAAAGTGGCAGGTTCAACTTTAACAAGACATCTTAAAACACAACAGCGAAGAGGAGGGACACACGACCGAGGAGTCAAGAAGCTGCAGAATGTTTTCTACACTTCAATGCTCATGATGTTTGAATGTGTTATAAGATAATCAGTGTCGGAGCTGCGTGAACTTGTTTGCTGTCTTTTGTCCATCGGGCTGAAATAAGAGTGAACTGTTTTTGAGTGCGTCCACCTCTGATTAATTTCATAAAACTGAGAAAACTCAAAATTTAAGAAGCTGTTTGGCAAGTTTGCTTGATAAACGACCAAATTCTTTGCAGAGGCAATAAAGAGAGGATCCAGATGTTCAAACTAATACTTAAATCAAAGGGAGTAAACTTACTTTGAGGTGATGAGGGAACACGTCCGACACCAGAGAAGGTCCGATCAAACAAGTGAATCCAATGGGAACAAACATCCCAAAGTATAAAACACGAGAAATCCAAAATCCAGGAACACAACGGTTCAAACAGGAGGAGACCGGGGAGCACACGGAGGTGACGGACACAGCCTGGAGAGGAGGGTCTGTTTGGGGTTTCTGAGCGGGAAGTACAGGGACAATCAGGTGGAGGTGAGTGACCAGGAAGTAGGAACTGACAGGAAGGTGAGCGACATCATCAAAATAAAACAGGAAGTCCACTAAAGAAAAGTCACACCAATAAGAAGTGGTGCGCGGGAGGCGGAGCGTGACCTGGTGTAGAGTGGACATCCTCGTAAAAAATAAAAAATGAATGTTGTCAGTATCATCTTCATCCTTCTGACCTCCTCTTCGCCCCCCC